GGATGCAGGGGCCGGCCCCCAAGTCCAACCCCTCCCATACAGGAGTCCCCTTCCTCCACCAGGTGGGGCCCCAACATGACATGCTCAGGAGATGGCTTCTGTCCCAGCACCAGAAGTGTCCAGCTGGCAAGACCCCTCTTCCTGGCCTGGGTGAGACCAGGGGACAGGCCCAGCGGTGCCCCTGTCACACACTGCCCAGCCAGGCTATGACATACCTAGGCTTGCCAAAGAAAGAAGGCCAGGTGGTCCTCAGTGCCCCAGAAGCTGGCCAGTGGGTGGGCGAGCGCTCAGCGAGGCTGAGGCCAGCTGGAGGTCTGCAGAAGGAAAGACAGGCAGGAGGGAGGCCACTGCATCCAGCTTCCACCCTGAGCTGCACAGCGGCCACAAAAAGAGGCACACCCCCAGAGAGGGGCCAAGGACAGCCTACCTCAGGTCCCTACGGGGACAGAAGGGGCAGCCAGAGCGGGCAGGGGGTGCGCAGCCAGAGGCAGGGACCAGCCCACTGACCAGCGTCCCAAACCAGGGGAGCTTTGGAGCATGGGCTGTGTTCCCCAACTTCTCGCTCGGGCCTCCGTCTGAGATGCCCAGGCAGGCCCGCAGGTCGACACAGCAGAGATGCGCACACAAAAAATGCGTGTGCTCAGACGCACTCACATACGGATACAGGGACACGCAGAAACAGAAACACATGCAGACACGCCGCACACACAGGGACATGCAGTTGTGTGCCACCCCCCAGTGTTCCCAGCCCCCTGAGACCAGCCTGTGTCGTCTACTTCCCCAAGGCACCCTGCACACCCTACCCACCCCTCTCTGGCTCTGAGCAGACAGACACCCGGAGCCAGCCCACGAGGACCCACGAGACCGTCCATCTGACATCAACGCCAATGGGGGGATTCTGTCCTCCCAGCCAACCCAGGGACTGTGGCGCAGGGAGGGCACCCCAAGCTCACCTGGGCGCAAATGAGGCATCTACCTCTCTGGGCTCTGCAAGCTCAACACCCTCCCGGAAACATCCCCCTAGCCCCTCGCCCCTCAAATCAGGGGCCTACTGCAGCCTGGGAGTGGGGGGGTGGCCTTGCAATAGCCAAGGGCAGGAAGGGATGCACAGAGGTCCCAAATCCCTCCCTGGCTGAGGGGGGTTCAGGTGGGAAGACCTGGGGCAATGTGAGCCATAGGAAACCATGGACACCCACCTGGCCAGACCAGGGTCCCACTGAAAGAGGGACCTTGCCCACAGCAGCCTAGGAGAGGGCGGTTGTCAGAGGAAGGACCCTGAGCCCCAGCAGGGCCGGGGCGGTGCAGTCCTGGCCCGGAGCTCAGACCCCTGGATCTCCTCCCACAGCACGGCAGGGGCAGCTCAGGGTGGAAAGCAGGGCCCGCCCACCCTGGCCCCCCAGGTCGGGCAGGCTGTGAGGCAGCTTTGAGGAGCAGGGAGGGCCCCGCCAACACAAACAGGCTGTGGTGTCAGCCTTCCTGCTGCGGCTTCAGCCCCAGCTGGGCCCCACTGCCCACCCCAGGCCCCCACCCTGGGGGAGGGGCACCGCAAACAGCCGGGCAGGCTGGCACACCCCTCCACCCCACACACACAGGAGCAGGGACTGAGGGGTCTGCAAAGAGCAGGGGAGGAGCTATCTCTCTCCCACCCAAACCTGAGCCTCTGGAGGCTGGACACACCCATCCGGCCTCCCCACTTGCTCCAGGGAAGGGAAAGACAGAGTGCAGAGATGAAGGGGTGTCCCACTAAGAGAGGCCACCAAGGGGGCTCCCAGCCTCTCCTGGACCCACTGAGGCAGGCTCCGATCTCAGTGCCTTCCCCTGTTCCTCTCCAGCACCCTCAGGTATTTCTCTGCTGGAAGTCACGTGGAAGTGGGGGGTGGAGGGGACACATTTAGGACTCTGGGGGAGGACACCTTCCCACTCACCGGGCCCCCAGAGCAGCTGCACCTCAGGTGCCCACAGTGTGAAAAAAGCTTGCCCATCCCACCACGGCCGGGTGCCCTTCCAGCCAACCAGACCCCATAGAACGTTCTCGGACTGTGTGCACTAAACACGTATCCCCGAGTGTGTGTGCACCAATGAGGGTTCCCAACATGTATGTTCACGGCCCCTGTGCTGCAGCGCACCCAACCTGCCCCACAGCACATTCTCCGGGTGAACATGTCTGTCCTAGGCGTGGGCAGAGCCAGAGGGCACAGGCATGGGGGGGGCGGGGGTGCCTAGAAGAATCCAGGCCTAGAGAAGAGTCACCATCACCACCCTCCGCCAGCCAAGGTCATGCCCAACCTCATGGTGGGGCTGTGGAGGGGGATCAGGACCTCCAGGTAGTCAGCCTCTGGTTCCATTCGAGTTTTGCAGATGGGGAAACTGAGGCTATGATCCAAGACCAGGGGGAACGGTCAGCCGAATCCCAGCCCATTGCTCTGCCCCAGCTGGCCTGTTTCCAGGGCAACGCCCAGGGCGGGAGGGACTCAGCAGCTAAAACTTCATTCATGGGTTTCCTCTGGTCTCATGCCCTGAAGTGACCCCTCTTCTGGCAGGAACCATGGCAAGTGGTTCCGAGCCACGTGTAAGCACATGTTCCCCCTCCCTGTGCCCCCAACCGACCACAGCAGGCTGGACATAAAACCGCACCTCACCTTCCTGGCCCCATCTCTGAACCTCCCCTCGGGCCTGAGCCACCTCCGTGCTGACACTCCACACCTGCCCCTGCTCTGCCCCAAACACACAGGTGGGGGACATGCCACCCAGGGCCTAGTCAGGGGGCAAGGCTGACCTCTGAGCTCCCCACGGTCTGCAGTTCTGGCTTGTCAGGGTGCCAGGCCTGAGCCACAGCAGAGCCAGGCAGGAGCAAGTGCAGGGCGGGGCAGGGGCGCGGTGGGGGCTCCATGAACACTCGGGGCCCGGATGCACAGGGCCTGGGACAGGGGCAACCTCGGGTTCTCATGGCTTCCTGGGAAATCAGGCAGTGGGGGGAGGAAGTAGGGAGGAGGAGGCGGGGGGCGTGTGCACGCACACTCGGAATTCCTGGAATGTCAACTCGGCTCTGGAGGGGTGTTGGGAGGGAGGCTCACTCCCCCAATTCTCCCAGAATAAACAACTCCCGGCAGAAGCAGGGGCAGGACAGGCCCTGGGCCCCTCCTCCAGGAAGTCTTCAGCCCCCACCCACCCCTGAGGGCCCACCCTACTGACATCCCGGGTCCCACTCCCCTGCCTCCCTCACCTCCAAGGCCACCAGCAGCCTTCGCAGCTGAGCCTGGGTCTGATCCCAGGCCATGGTGACTCACAGCCCCTATCCTGCCCCTCCAGCCAGGCCAGGGCAGGATGTGCGTCCACTAGGCCTGGGAGGAGGGGGCAGGGAAGGGAAGTGGCCTGGCTCGTGGCTCAGCACGTGGCTGGGTGGGGGATGGCAAATGCAGCTGCAGAGGCTGTCCGGGGCCCAGGCAAGGGTTGGGGTGCAAACCCCAAGTGGGTAGTGGTTCTGGCTGGTCCCACTCTGAACCCAAGAGACCCTTCATACCCTCCTCGCGCCTAGGGCGGGAGTTCAGCATTTGCCCTGAGAAAGCAGTTAACTGATGCCTGTGACCCAGCATAGACCCCCACCCCAGCCAGATGTCCTGAGGCCAGCAAACCAGTCCGGAGTCCCCACGGGTGCCATTTTGCAACACCCACCCCAGAGCCCAGTGCTCACCCCCTCCTAGAGGCCTTCCCTGCCTCTCACTGCACTCTGGCTCCCTTCTCTCCCGTCCCCAAGGGGCACCCACGGGCGCAGCTGGAGGGTGCCGGTGCCAGGCTCACCCCACTCCATCTCGGAGACACGAGCATCCTGTCCCTGCAAGTCTTCAGTGGCCCGTCACCTCCAGGGTGAGGCTGACATGCCGCCTTCAGCTGGTCCTGAAGGGACAGCCTCCAGACCTCTGCCCAAGGGTCTCCTGTGCCAGCCCAAAGGACATCTCTTCCACGACGCCCTCCCTGAGCACCCGCCCCCGCCCCGTCAGAGATGCGTTTGAGCATCCGATGCCCCAGGTACGGGTCACACAACACAGCGTCCCAGGCGGCACAGTCCCCTCCGCACCCCTCACAGCCCTACCCGGGAAGGAGCGGGCCGAGCGCGGGCAGAAGCGGATCGGTGCGGTGGGAGCAGCCGTCCACCCTCCCGGCCGGCGGGGCTGGGCCGAGGGCGAGCACGGGGCACCCCAAACTTAGAAGCGGAGACCCCGGCACCCAGCGGGCAGGGCTCCAGGCGAGGGACCCCTTTCCCGGCCGGGCCAGGAGGGGCGGCGGGACGACCCGCCAGCGGCCGCGCGCCCTCCGGGCAGCCCCTCTCGGCCGCCCCGCC